AGGCTGCACTTTCTTTTAGACTCTATTGTCCCAAGAAAAACACAAAACTTAAGCAAACATGGAGTTACAGATGAAAAAATGAGGTGTTGTGTTACAGTTTGCAGGGCTAAAGTTGTGCTCTGATCAAGACTGCACACATTTCATGTATAGATAGATATTACCTTTTATATTACCTTTACTGTCATTGCAGAATAGTACAATGCATCCCTACTATATAAGATATAATAAATGCAATCAATAAATAGTAAACATCAATAAAAATAACTAGTTAAAAAAGAGATAAAACATATTGCACATACTGTCCCAAATTATGTACTATCACTTCCTATTTCTTCACAGAGTTTAGTTTGTGATGGCTATAGAGCAGAAACTATTTTTAAAACAGTAGGTTTTAATGGCCCTATAGTGTCTCCCGATGTATAGACGGTGACAGTAATGAGTTGGGTCCTTCAGAATGTGGTTTACCCTGCAGAGGCAGTATAATCTAAAAAAGGTCCTCCAGCAAATTTCACCAAGTGAAGGTGTAATTTTCCATAATTTGGCTGTATAGAAGTTCAAGGCAACTAATTTTGGCTTGGCACATCCAACCAGTTAGGCAACATACCTCCCAAAACAACATACCAATACATAAGCTGTGTATTGTGTCATACAAGTGTTCTGTATGCGTGTCTTTGTTTTCTCAGTCTGTTGTGCTCAGAAGTGTTCTGCAGCATAGCTATTACTTAATAGCAGTCTGTTTTGGCATTATTCCAAAGGACTTTCCAGTCTGTTCATTTTAGACAAACCAGAAAACAACTGGAAACACTGCCCAGTATGCTTAGTAGGCTGATTACTAAAACAGTGAACCAAATGATGCAGTTAAAATTTAATGTATGAAATCAATTGAAAATGGTCAGTCTCTTTGGTTTACCACCAATCCAGCAGAACGTTCTCTTATGTGGTTTAATCAAAGATCATTGGGTGTATTTTTTTATGTACTATATATAAAATTGTGTGTATTCACTATGGATTAAATAGAATTACATCACACTTTAATTATTCAACTTATGAAATTAAAAACTTTTATGCCCCAAGAGTCACTGGTGATTTTAAGTAAATCTTGGCTATGAAACAATTTACATTCAGATGCTTTGCTTTATCTATGGTGTACCCTGCCTGTTGCCCAGTGTCAGCTGGGATTGGCTCCAGCCCCCCGTGACCCTGTTCAGGATAAGTGGTATAGATAATTGATGGATGGATGTTTTCAAAAACAGCCTGTGTGGACTCTCCAGATTGTAAAATGCTTCTGAAAGTGATGCTGGCATGTAGTGGCACCTGTTGGGAACAATAGGGACATGCAAGACGGCGGATTGTCTTTTTTGTCTAAAGCCAGCTTGTTTCCAGTGATGCAGTGAGTAAGGCAAAGCAGCTTTATTTATACAGCACATTTCATACACAGAGGCAATTTACAAAGTTTCAATTTACAAAAAAAACGATAACAGCGTTTAAAACAATAAGCATTAAGATCAGAATGAAATCAGTTTAGACAAAGTGAACATAAAACTGCTAAAATGGGATAAAATACATAAAATGAAGATAAAAACAAACAAACAAAGTAAAAGGTATGAAACACAGACAGAGACTGCAGCATAGAAACCAGTCAAACAACAGAAAAATAGTAGAGTTTTCAGTTTAATCTTAAAAGTTGCTAGAGTTGGGCCACATTAAGCAGAGGTGAAAAGTAACTAAGTACATTTACTTAGGTACTGTACCTAAGTTCAGTTTTGAGGTATCTGTTCTTTACTTGAGTATTTTCATTTTCTGCTACTTCATACTTCAGCTTCACCACATTTCAGAGAAAAATATTTGTCATGATTCTGTCCCACTGGTTCTGGACTCATGCTTTTATTTTGACACTACTTCCTGTCCCCAGCTCAGCCCGACTCCCAGGAGCTTTGTCTCATCACCCACATTGGTTTCACCTGCTTCTCATTACTCACACCTGCTTACAACAGCATATACCATCCTGTGGGAAGCTCCTGTTCAGACTTTCCAGCACCTGTGATTCCAGCGCTGACTCCTGATTAGCTTGTGGCCACTGAGTACTGCCTAACCCCTCTGCTTCTGATTGTATTTTCTGTGTATGGACCTTTGGACCTTCCTTTCTGACTGTGCTTTTCATGGATACCTTGGTTGTGTGAGTTTGCTGGCTTTGACCCTAGACCTGACCCTCAACCTGAGAGCGTTACTTGTTGAATCAGACTCCTGCATTGTGTATCGCTTGTGTCTGAACAGTGCTCTTATTAAAGAGACACTGTTCTGCTTATCCTCATCTGGCTTTCTAATTGAGTTCGCCCTCGACATTGTTGGCAGCTTCACATGCCAATCCTGACAGTATTATACTTTGTACTCATTTATTTGACAGCTTTTGTTTTCAGAAAGGCGTCCCAAAGGTATTGCCACTTTTATCTAATTAAACAATGCGACTACTTCCACAGCTGCGTTTAAAGTCATCAGGAGTTGGTTCCATCTGTATGCAGTATAGTAGCTAAACAATGAAACATTAAAATGTATACATGGATAAAACATTAGGATGCAAATTAGATTAAATCATTAAATGCAAATTAAATTCAACAATACATGATGGCACAAAGTAGCAAATGTGACTCTAGATACGTACCAAATACTCAGGAGCGCTGTGGACTTTCACTGTTCTCATTGTACTTTGTACTCCTTTACTTCAGTCTACCCAAGACTAACCTCTGATTAGGCAGGTGTACTTTCTTCTGGAAATTTGAAACACCAGTTTCTATACAATCAGCAAAACAGTCCCAAAAACTCAAGATCGCTGTGGATTCTCACTCTTCGTGGAATATTTTTCACCTTCGTAAGGGTATATTAATAAATAAATAAAACATTTATATGGAGAGTACAAGAGGGTTTTTTTTATATTTACTGAGCTGGGACAATACATGTCTTATAAGATTTACACACATGCTGTAGAAATGTAGATTGTGTTTTAGTGCCCGCTAAGCTGCTTTAGGTGCCATCTGTTGGGACTCTGCTCTCAGTAAGCAGCTGCACAAAGGAAATATTTAAAGACCACAATTTACTTATTTCCAAGTGGGCAATGTGTTTACAAAAATAAAATTATATCTATAATTTTTTTTTTTTACTTTGTCGCTAAGACATGATACAGTGGTCTGAACTGCTTTTGGAGCAGGTACATGTGTCAGGAGTTCAGCTCTGCATCACTTTGTCATCATACTGTATCTATACATTTTATAAATAAGAACTCAAGTCATGCTGAAGAAAATCCCATAAACAAGATGTCACCCTAGAAATCGTATACTGACCAGGTATGGACACTAAGGCTTCAGTATATTTGAACATGATGTAAGTGTGGGTACTTGTTAGGATGCTCACACAGGACTAGGACCCAAAATGCAGACAGAGGCTAGAATGGAGCTCAGAAAGTTTGTATTCAAAGAATAAGATTCAACAAATTAAAATTTAACTGGTGCTGGGAGTCAGACAGGCAGGAGAAACCTTGGGTGGATCTCCAGGGCCAGGAACACGCAGGTGAGTTGAGCAGGCCAAAGAGTAGAGATGTGGCTGGAGCACACAGCAGATAATGCCAGACGGGACCCACGTGTCAAGCTCGCAGGTGAGGAGACAATGGTGGAATTGTTGACACTGTCCAGAATTGGTGCCAATAAACAGGACAGGAAAAGCAGAGTATGGTGAGCCTCAAGAGTGGAGTGAACAGAGCATTGGCATCAATATGTAAGCTTCATCAATGGACCAGCAAGTAACTGAGGTGAGGTGATGCAGGGCAGGAAGTAGCCAAAATAAAAGCAGTCAAACCCAGAAACCATAACAGCACTACTAAGTTCAACAAGCCAGTGCAGCTGTGAAACAAAGCCGTCAACTACAATGATAAAGCTTTTCTTGTCTTATTATAATAAACATTACAGTCATGATAAACACAGTACACAATATCCTTATTACAATCTTTGTTTGGACATTTATATAGGTTACAGGCAGAGCTTTCTTCTGGATCAAGTAATAAAAGTTTAGTTGCCAAACTGACTGAACAAAATCACAATGTACTGTGAAGAAACAAATACCGTATGTAGGAGGAAATGATGTTTAATGATGGAGTCATGTATGAGGTATATACCATTCACTGAACTGATCTATGTCTTAGCTAGTGCCTCTGCCTTTGCTAATGTGTCCTGTTAACACTTTGAGAAATTCTACAAACATACCCGACTCTTCTCTCCAAAAAAAAAAAAAAGCAAAGAAACAAACCAGTGACATAATGACTGAACCACTATGTGAGGCCTCTGTGTAGGCATTTGGCCTTAAAGAAAGACATTTAAAGCTGATTTATACAACATTACAGTATACAGTGTTGTCACTAAAACCTTGTATGTATCAGACTCACCGTCGGGAACTGGATGTGACTTACAAAAATGTTTTTCTATCCAATCACCAATCAAATTTACAACTTTTAAAAAGTACTGCACTGTGTCGTAATGACAATATGTAAAGTATAAACACACGAGATGAGATTTAAATGCAGGCTTTTTTAAAAATCTGACCAGGTAACCATGAAACAGATGAATGGTCAGATTAATTTGATAAACGTAAACTAAAAACTTGATGTCCTTGCTTGATTCCTGATAGCTTGCCAATTTTCAAAAATATTTACTACATTAAATATTTAAAAATAAAACATTTATTTATAAAGCTACTATATGTTAATAATTACATGTTAAAGTATTAAAAATGACATAACTTAATCTTCAACCAAAATGGTCTGTATGCAAGAATATCCATTTCAGACAATGTTGTTAAAACATGTTCATTTTATAGCTAAACTTGTTATAAAATTAATGGAATATCTGTTCATTAATGTTTTGAATTATCATTTTGAAGTTATACAAACAGAGTAGTTACAAATGCAACATGTGGTAGCATCTGAAACTGATAAATTCAATCAAATTATGCCGTGTCTTACAAGAACTCCACACCAGTACAGCATAAATTGTATTCTACTGATATACTGTGTCACTTTTATTACATTTATTGTTGTACAAAAACAAACAAGGGCATGTTACAAACTCATCTCATGTGACAAAAAGACTAAGACGTCAGATTTTCCCGCTCCATGGCACCTTTCCTGTCTTCCACACTGTCTTCAGATGTTGATTTCTCACTTCTGTCGACAAATTGTCGTGGGAAATGCAGGAAAAATCAAATCCTTTACGTACATAAGTCACGTGTCATAGCAGAATGACACCAGCCAAGAACAGCTTAGAATTTGTACATTATCCACTTTATTTTAATGGAAAGTAAATCAGATATACCAGCTGTCTCACTGAAGATTAACTGTACTTGTGTGGTGCTTATCATACCTGCATCCTTCAAACTTCCTCTCTCGATAAGCGTCACCCTTCTTCATTAGGTAGAGAAGGACCATGTCACAGAAGAAAGCTCCCTGTTAAATGAAGCTTTATTTAGTGATGTAACCATCACAAATGGCAAAAACACAAACCAACCTTGGGCAGCATGAACCAAAAATATTAATGGTACTTACAGCGCCCATCAAAGCCAGTGAAGAACCCACGTTGATGGCTGTTGGTATGATGCTGAACTTTCCAGCCTATGAACGACAGCAGAAATACTAGAAATGTTTATTTTAATCACAAAAATCATCTTAAGATTAAAGAATTAAAGGTTATGCCCCTTTATTCAAAATGTCTTTGAATTTGACTTCTTGTTGATTTTAATAAAACCTAATATGTTTTTTAAAGTTCGTCCAGAATGTTTTAATTTTGGAAAACATAAAGTAATGGTATTGGAGCTGCGGTGTGCTGAGACACAGTAAAAATAAATACTGATAAGATCACAATCATCCTGTCCCTAAAGGCACTTATCAGTTACACATCATAACACTGGCATTTTTCCATACCTTTCCAAGCACCATGACGTTAAATCGGACACCATAGACTTTGAATAGAGATCGATAGCTTTCACCAGCAGCATTTTTAAAATATCGAGTGTGTCTGTTGGGGAGAAAAGTTAAGCATGTAAGCATAAGGAACAACAACTGATTATCTTTATGTACTGTAGTTTATGGTGATCAAGACGTCTGGATAATGCTTCTCCTTTCAAATTCTCCTTTTATTGTAAATAAAGGTTATTTTATTGGGGATAATAATGAGAAATATTTGTACAATTCAGACTGTGTGCAGTGAGTCTCACCTGAAGTTAAATCCCATCGCAATGGTTTTGTTGGAAACACTGATGTCCAGGCGAGTAAAGCGGTACTGTGGATGGCAGTGGCCTTTGTCGAGGTCGCAGTCCCAGTGTATCATAATGCCAATAGACCCCCCCTGGGAAACAGAATACAAAACTGATCATATTTAAAGCATGTAAACAGTCATTCAAAAAGGTGTTCGATAATATTGATTGTTGATCGAATACCACTACTTTGTTTTCCAAAATTAAAATCTCTACACTTCACTGTGTGTAACTACTTTGGATCATTTATGTAAGGTAACATGAAATGTGACACTTTGCAAAAGTTGTAATGTAAATGTAATTGCGCCATACATACAATAAATACCAAAGAAAATCTAAGTAACAAAGTACAGTCATGATCTACTGGGACTTTGTTTCTCACTTGACAGCATGTTGTGACTTTAAAATCTTTCATTTAAGGTAAAGTTTTGTAACATTCACAACTCTATGACATTACACTGTTGAAAAGTGCAATACTAACAAATGTGGCCATGTCCTGGAAGTTGTATCCAGCTCGTCTGGTGATGTCTCCCAGGCGGAAGATGGGGCAGTAGGGGTGGAGCTTCTCATCATATCGGCATTTCTTTAAATAGGAGTCATCAGTTGTTTCAAGAACGTTGGACCTTAGAGTTAAGAAACACACAGCACAGAGTGTGCACCGTTCACTGGATATAAGCCCTGTTTCCAGTTAACCAAGCAGTAGTTGAAGAGGCTATGGTGAATAATGAACACAGAAGAAAAGGACTTACTTTGAAAATGTGAATTTGGGAAATTGGATGAAATTCTTGATGTAGATGGTGAAGTTTTCAGCATTTGTCAGTAGAGGCCCTCTGTATAATACAATAGGGATTGTGGTTAAGTACCACATACCTTGTGACGTACTAAGAAAACAATTTTGTAATGGTAGGACAGATCAAGGGGCATAATTCATAATTTTTTCATAAAAGCAAGGTTAATAACTAGGAACCAGATACACAGTGATGGCTGTTGGACAGTTCAGGGGGCCATGGTGTTCATATAAAGTTGCCTATCAAGCCAGGAAGATTATCCATACTATTTTAGCATCAGAAGCTATAACATCAATGCAGCTTAAGGCCTGGTAATGCCATTGAGTATCTGCTCTTTAATTGGGTCAGAGTAGGAGTCAATGCCAGCTTAAAGCTTTTCTTTGGTTTCTAAACAATCTGGCCCTAGCTCTGACATAGCTTGGTCAGTATGGTCAACATGTGACCAAACTATTTCTAGCTTGGTGTCTGACATCTTGTATTGATTTATTACTTATGTACTTGTCTGGCATTTTGCAGTTTAACATGTTTCCGGCAAGAGTCTTTCATTTATTAAACTAAATTCTTTAATGAAACTTTTTTCACCCCTGTGCGTTTCTTTTTAATGTGACTGCATTGCTCCTTACTGTGGTGTGAATCTTCTTTCAATGGGGCACCAGCCGTAGATTTCACAGGTACCAGTGGAGTTTACATCTCGTCTTAAACATCGGCCGCTCATAATGCCTTAAAACAACAGAAGAAGACAAACCTGAAGTCATCCCGCTTGTCACGTGTAAAAACATTACATCTGAATTTCTGTTTGGTTCAAATGAGAATTCCCATATTAAAGGAAAAGAAACTGAGAATATTTCTAATCCTTCTTTTAATCATTTGTGTTTTCTGCATTTAACCTGAATTTTTTTTTAACCTGCTGAGTTTGGACCCAAATCTTTTCATAATGGCACAGAACAGGCAATAACCACCTTAGTGGTGATTTAAACTGAGTAATGTTTCTTTCTTACCATTACCAGCCACTACCACCTTTCCCTCTTCACAGTCCTCACTATCTCGACAGTGACCATCCAGCAGTCTGGGGCTCTGGGATCAGACACCACGAAGAGGGCAGAGGGTGAGGAAACACTTTACATATAACTGACCATTTTTCACATACTAAGACAAAATAAAATAAACAAAAATAAATGAGACAGTTTGTATATTTTTTGTATTTTGTCATTTTGACATAATTTAGTGTCATCATTTTGATTTGGCAGCCCCTATTTTTTACTTCATACTTTATATTTTTGACATAGTATTTCATACGTTTGACATAATAGCTTCTAGTGTTAACTGAATGACTCATAATTTGGATTGAATAGATTACAATATTTACAGTACTCTGCATTTAATGTTTTTAATTTAGCATCTGAGTATTTTTAATCACAAAGTTTTTTCATTAACTTGTTTTTTTTTCTTTTCCTAGCAAATATGAGCTTCCATGTGTATACCATATTACAGATGCATATCATACACAGATTTTACACTCACCAGTCACTTTATTAGGTACATCTGTACAATTGTATGCATTTCAGTGCAATACGTCTGCCTTTAACATCTGTGTTTATGATGCCCACAATGTTTTTGGTAAACTTGTCATAAATATATAAATTCAATTATATGCTTATTATTGAACTGGCAACCTGTCAGGGGTGCACCCTGCCTCTTGCCCAATATCAGCTGGGATTGGAACATTATATATGATGGTTAAAGGCAACTCAAGTGTGGTAGCCTTTCCGAAGTGGTGGCACTACAACTGGTGAGAGTCCAAATGTATACAAGAGCTGTGTGGTATGGTTGTGTAATACTTGTACAGGCTTGCCACTCTTTTTGGCTGCTGGCACTGACACCAAGGGTCCGGCCTCAGTTTACATACCTGTCCTGAGTTTACATACCTAGAACGCTCCAGAAAATTTGTAGCTGAAGATATAGCACACACATACACAGTCATAGAAAGAAGCAGGTGGTGTCAGGCTTTGTTAAAAGTTAAGTCTTCTGCTACAGAAATCAGCAAAGGGACTACAGATTAGCTACAGCCCATCTTAGTGTCTTTTTCTAGTAGTTGTACACAATACAGTGGTTAGTCACAACTTTCTAAATTACAAATTGACTTTGGGTGCGTCACTGCTGTGTGTAGAACCAACTTTATATCTACATAGTCGAAGCACACTCAGAATAAATGTGTATAAAATAGAACAATTTGGGCACAACTACAATCTCAGTGATTTGATATTTATTACATTTATATAAAACATGAGCCTCCTCTGTCCTGGCATTTTAAAAATGGCACTAATTCGGAGTGCTACTGGTAGTTGATAGGCTCAAGAGAGGTAAAATACTTTTCTCTATATGTCTGAGAAGGAGCTAGCGTGTATAGATGTTTTCATTTATATATGTTTGTCATTAAGCTCAAGCAGCCCACAGATTATTCCCAGCTCTTCCATAACCTCAGTCACACATGGCCTACTGCTGGAATAGTTTCCGCATGATCAGATGGCAAACAGTGGAGAGTGAATAAAATAACTTTAAGATAAGCACGGTTTGTCAGACGACACGAAACTGTGAGCTGAGTGGAAAGAAAACACAGTGTCTAAACAGCACATCCTTCCCAACAGCTAGCAAAAACTCACAACACAAAACTCGCTGTTATCCTTAGGTCAAACAAAATAAAATGTTTGTCTTAAAATGTGCTCAGCGTGCTGCCTCCTGGTGACAGTCATGCCAAATGCTAGACAGATGCAGTGGTAAGAATAAATGAAATAATGGCCAAATATGAAAGCATGATGATTTCAACATTGTCAGTTACTTGCTATTAGGAGAAAGCAAAGCTAATTCTTCTAACAAACATACTAATACATAATATTTCTGGGTGTGATATGTATTATGTTTTGTATGTACCACATTGCTACTGTCATTATGCTATCAAATATGAAAATAATGATGATTAATTTTCACATTTCCTCCTGTTACAGTGAAAGTGTGAGTGTAATTTTCTGAGTGGACAGTTTTCTCATACCCCAATGGTCTAACACACTGTAAATGATTTACATTTAAACCAAATCTACTAAATACTCTTACCTCAGCACAGTATCCCAGCTTCTGGTTTGGTGTCTCTAAGAAATTAGTTACAATAAACAGAACAGCTTCACCCTATGTGGAGAGAAAACACTGTAGATCAGCCTTTATTTGGACATAATGTCATAACGACCCATGTGCTGCTTTTGTTTCTCCTTCCTCAGCCTTAGACTCTCTTCCTCTCTTCAGGGGTCTGCAGTGTGATCCTGGTTTAGGTCATTACCTGGCCCAGCTCCAGCATGCAGACCTGTGCCTCTCATTATACTGTACCACCCATTTTCTCAACACATTTGCTGTGTTGTGATTTGCTTACATTTTTTTTGTTTTGTTTTAATTTTGTGTCTGCCCTAACTACCTGCCCATCTGTTAAGACTTAAGACTTTGCTTTTTGATAAGCCTTCCCTTAGTTATGCTGCTATAGGCTGGGGGTCCTCCCATGATACGCTGAGCTCCTCTCCTCCCTCTCCTTTACTCTCATCTTCTCTCTCTCCTCTCATCTCCCTCCTCTCCTCTTTTTTCTCTCCTGTCCTTTCTCTCATCTCCTCTCCCCTCTCTCTCTTCTCTCTCCATGCATCTACAGTATATGCCATCATTCCATGTCATTAACTTTGTGTGTCCTCTCTCTCTTCCTGTACCTAGCTGCAGGTACCCCTGGCTTTGGAGCTGTACATTTCTGATGAGCAGTCACCAGCCACATCAATGAACCCAATGTTTGTTTGTGTGTTGTGTCTTGTTACTTTTCTTTTCTCTCTCCTCTATCCAGCCACCAGCATGTGTGTGTGCCTTTCAGCCAGTCCTCATCCTTACTCTGAATAGCCGCATAGCTGAAATCATTGAAGTGTTTAATAATGCCATGATGCTGTGGTGTAAATACAGTATTTTCACCTGAGGTGGGATAACGTAGTCTTCCGGCCCCCACACCAACAGACCAGACTCAGAGGTATTAGTCACCGAAACGCCCTTCAGTTTAGTTATAACGGAACTCTGGATGGCCTCGTCTGTCTCCTGGTAGCCTTTCTTGCTTATGAAAACCCAACTGTGCGTGAAAGCAACACTCAGAATAAGCAGGTTTTTATCCATACCACCAATAAATAAATAAATAATGTGACAATGTGTTCAAGGCATCTTGCACAAGACTACAGTAAACATTATAAAGCTTTTAGTGTAAATAAGCAGACTATAAAAGATGTACTATTAATCTATTAAGGCTGAAAATGGCCCTGTAACTTGACACCTACTAGTTCTGATTGAAATGTATAGGGCTCCCACCCACTTCACCAAGCCTTGAAGTCATCAACATGTACACTGAATAATGTGGGTGGGGTATTTTATAGCCTACAGTTGGACTTTAAGTAATTTAGGTTGCTGTATGCCACGAGTTTCATTAAGTATTTCTTTATTTAAAATCTATAACCTACTGTGTGTCTCTAGGGTCAACACAAATTCCTCACAGGTGCAAATTTTACTATTAGCCTAATCGTTATTTATACTAATTTACATAGCATAATTTATCTAGCATATGGAATCACAAAAACACTTAGTAAAAACCTCGACAGTAATTCACTTACCCTATAATGTAACCGATGATAGATAACTGAATAACTCTGTACAAAATCCCAACTTTCTTATTTTTGGCGACAATGTATTTTTCCGTTTTGTAGTCAAATAAGGAGAGGAAACGTCCCTTGAGTAAGCTCCCAGCCATCCTGCAGCTGCATACTCACAGCTGGATGACAGTGAATAGTTAGTGGTACAGTCAGTGGAGAGTGTCAGTAGCTTAAAGGCGCTGACAGTAACCAGCCTGCAGGAGCACACACACACACATACACACACACACACACACTGCTCCCACCAGCTGCACTGGCTCAGTGCTCAGCCATCATCACCAGCCACGTGTCTAATGCACTGTGGCGCTAGACGAAAGGTCAGGGGTCCACATTATGATGGATCCTCTGAACTCCGTCTGTACCGGTTCATGGCACTCCATCCGGTGGTTGTCACTAGAATGGCGACAAACATCAAATTCAAAACGTTTTACCTTCTCATCATATGACCTGTCTTCTATTACAGTTTTATGTATAGTATTGTATATGTTAGATTAGTTTATAATGTTTGTTGTGTGCTCTGATGTCCAGGTGTATTATGCTATATTACTTTAGCATTTCATTTTGTTATTGTTAAGCACTTTGTAACATTTGTTTTTTTTAAAAGTGATAAAATTGCTATGGCTGTTGCTCTCCATTTCAAATGCCCCTTGTTTTCTGAATCACCAGCACGTCTCAACAGGAAGTGGTCTGGATGCAACTGTCGTTTTCATGCCTTTCATAGCAGTTGTCTACATGTTCACTGTAAAGTGTAGGCCTAAAGAATTTTAATTAGAATTTCATCTTTGGCATAGTCACCAGAAAGTTTGAAAAAAAAAAAGGGGACAAAAACCTGGATCAGACATTGACCTGTTACGTATGTAGAACTGAAACAGTAGCAAAGTATTTATGGCCTTGTGGTTTTGTCCCATGATGCTGGGAGGGGGTTATATGCAGCTTAACCACATTGCTGTTCACACTGAGTGAGCAGTTCACAATGACTGCAGACAAGTGGATTTTCGTTTTTGCCCTGTGCTTCATGAGTGCATCGTCAAATGGTAAGTTACATGAATTTCGAAAATCAGAATATTATTTATAAAAATACATGAATTGTAAACCTAAAATCACTTGTTTGATCTATTACACATCAATATTCAGTTGGTTTAAATGATCTTAGAGTTCTTGTGGCTGGATACATAAATATATGTACGGTGGACTATGATGTTGGTAATTTTAATATATTTAATGTTGTACATTATTTTTGTAATATACATAAAACACTTTTATTCATTATTGTAACCCATTAAAATTGTGCTAATTTCTGAGAATTTGTAGGCACGTAGAGTAATAGCTTTGTCTTTAGTAATTCATGGTTACTATTTTTATATTTCTAGTTTATTTTTCTGCACCACTGCCCAACTGGCCTATACACTAATCAGCCATAACATGACCACCTGCCTGAAACAGTGTACACAGGAGTCAATGTGGCAGTTGGTCAGCACTCATGTCACTCTACAGCTCACTGTGAATCTTCTGTGAATTCATTTGCTTCCACAATTATATTGTCAGGAAGAGCACATATTTGGTGACCATTCAGTGTAAAAGGAGTGAAAATTGTGGTCGTGAGGACAAGTCAGCAAGCAAATTTTATTTATATACTGTAGCTAAACAAAACTGTACAAAGTGCCGCACAAAAAAATAAGTGTAAAACTGTATAAAATAATAAAAATACCATTACTTCACAAAAATAATAAGAGTACACCTCAAACTATACTGGAATTAAAAGCCTGTGAGAAAAAATAAGTTTTCAGTGTTATGGTTTAGTCCCCCTCACCAGGAGGGTGAGGGAGAACTGGGGTTGGACTCAAGATGGCTGACCCAGGTGCTAGTACAAAAAAGGTGGTTTAATGGAATAAAAACAACAAAGTGACAACACAACAATGTCCATAATATATACAAGGGAAGGGCAGTGATGACTAAGGAGACCAGGATGAACAGGTACACAGACACACTAATGGCAGGAACTAGGAGAGCAGAGGATGAGAACGGACAGATGAACAAAAAGAACTAACGTAAACAAGGCAATCCACAGCACAGGGACTGTCAGCGTGGAAGACAAAGCACTGTTAGGTATTTTCTTAGTTAGGTAGATATTTAGAGATTTGTTGTCTAGAAATGTGTAGGGTAGACAGGATGTCTAGCTCAGGCTGTTAAATGCTTAGTTCATTGTCATGAGCTTGCTGCAGGCTGCATGTGGGCCTCAAGGTCAACTAGATTGAAGAGTCTGCAGGCAGGATGAATATTGCTATTATTATTGCTATGTTCAGCCGTAATCTTAATCATAATATCTTCCGAGGCTTACTGTTCGGACATGTCCCTGAATGTCCTGTATGTTTTTAGATACACACCACATAATCAACATTCACACACATTATTTTCTTCATGTTTTGACTACTGCTCTGCTCAGCTGCCAAGCTGGCATATCAGGTGACGTCACGGTTTGACGTTGCCTGCGTAGGATGGGGCTAGCCCAACGAAGTGATTAAATTGTATAGGC